ATACCATGCATGAACCCATCATATGCTTATCAATTAAAATTAAATCCCACCTTCAATATGACTAAAAGTCGTGTTAATTGCAGCGAGCCATTTTTCTTTCTCGCCACTAATTCGTTCCATTAGCATCCTGCGGTTATGGTCTTCAGTCAGCTTTGCTTCATGTGCACGACCCTCAGCTTCTGCCATAGCCTTCACTCTTATGGTTTCCCGTTCAATTTCAGCTCTCTCTTTCTCAGTCTGACGCTGTTGTGCTTGTATCTGCTCCTCAGTTACTTGTCTTGCTTTTTCTTTTCTTATGGATGATTGTTCTTGCATTCCAACTAACTCAACATTATGTCGCCTTTGAGCTTCGTGGTCAGTCTGCAAAGAATAATAAGGCATCAATAACAAAACGCTTTCATGCACAACCAAAATGTTTCATTCTTAACATGCATTTGTCAATTCATCCTTAAACTGGAGAACATTTTAGAACCAAGTCACCTGCATTCTTTTTCTGGCCAACTCATCTTCATAGCGCAGCATTTGTGCCTTAGCCTGTGCTTGTTGTTGGATTAGATTTCTTTGTTCTTCAGCCAATTTCCTTTGTCTCTCCTGCGAGTGAAAGGACTAGAGTTAACCCCATACAGAAGGAATACATATATAGACTAGACACCAGAAGCTAACTTGTTCAAGTATCTTATTATTTGCAAACCAATAATAGTTCAGACCAGAGAATGTGGAAAATCAAATCAAAAGAGCAGCAACATCTGCTTATGCCAAGATGAAAGGCTCAAAAGTTCTAGAAACATTATCAAGTAGTAACATAGATAAGAACCTACTATATCAGTTTGAGCTTGAATGACTTCGTAATGAGCCTTTTCAGCGGCCAACTCAGCAAGACGCGCCTGTTCCTGCTTTTTCATCAGCTCAAAAACCTACACAGAAATAACACTAAGTTAAAATCAATAAAGAGCAAAGAACTTGGATTTCACGTCATTCAACAGCAGAAAACAAAATTTCATTGAACACTCCCGTTCTTAGATACCAGAACAAGAAAACCGCCACAAAACAAAACACTCGATACTAAGAAACTTTGGAGCAAATTGAATTCAAAACCTCAAACATCCACTCCATATCTTCTTCAATTATCTTCCACAAAACCGACCAAAACATGAAACAAATTAAACAAAAAATGAAGCAACACCTGTTTAGCGTTGGGGGAACTATTGATTTCTCGGAGAGCTTTAGCACCTCTCTCCAATGCTTCAGCATCAAAACCAGACTTACTCGGCTCCTCAGCCGCGGGTTTCGCGTCTGATTTGTCATCGGAAGACTTGTCCTCCTGAGAAGCCTGTGAAGAAGAGAAAGGCGAGAATCGAAATGGAGAGTCGGCGTAGGCGTGGTTGGCGATCGTGGGCAAGGATGCAGCAGCCGCAGCCATAGCTACGCAGGCGGATAATCTAGAGACAGCCATATGTTCAAGAAATAGAAGCTCTAAAAATTCAGCTTACATGAACTACTGGTAACGGAACTGCTTCAATACCACCAGAACATAGGAGTTGTCTTCTTGATTGAATAAGAACATAAAAATCGCGAGGTTTCTATGACTGGTGCGCCAAGGTTTAAACCTCCGTCTTCATGCGGTTGCAGAGCCATAGGGTTTAAGAGAGAGAGAGAGAGGGTCAGAAATGGGCAGGACTTACGAGTGGGTCGCCCATCAACGAGCAGAAGAAAAAGAAGGCCCAAAAGAAAATGAACTCATGGGTGGATCTTGAATAAAATAAAAATTATAAATTGTTTCTATTTATCCCTAAATATTAAAAAATATCTAGATCCATAAACTTTTTTTTTTTTTTTTTTATTAATTGTCGAATGAAATTATTGTCCAGATGATATTTTAGTTATTTAAAAATTTCAATTTAATTCGGTTTAAACACAACTCAATTAAGTAATATTGTAAAATTTTTGAATATTTTCATTTTATATGTTGTTGGACTTTAAAAAAAAAAAGTTAAAATATAACAAATCAAATGAAATTTATATTCAAATTTTAAGGCTTCAAATCAGTGCAATGCTTCCCTTCCAGATCAGTTCAAAAGGCTTCAAATTTTGTAAGAAACAATCAAGTTCATGGCCTGAACTCTCTCAATTCTGGATGTTATTGCTTGCTATTCACAGGCTGCTTTGGTGTCAAAGCTGCTCAAGCAGATCGCCAAGGCTTGGAAGGCAGAGAGCGGGAGCGATAGCCACTGTAACTCGGCCTCTGAAGTTCAGGCACCAGCATTGAAGTTGTTCATGCCATCTAGGAGCCTTGTTCTTGAGAACCAAAGATTTCCCCCAAAAGAACAGCATTGTAATCTTGCCTGCTCTACCAATAATCCTTGCAAGAACAACTCCCACCTCTAAAATGGTGGAATCGAACTCTATCTCGCATTATAATCTCTCTACGATAGATCCGAGATATGAGCTTCGCAACGACGTGACAATCTTCACAGACCCTAAGGTTCTTTACGACTCGAATCGTTGATCCGGGTTTTGTGTTGATCAATCCAAAAGCAATAGCTAACTTTTCGCTATGTTGTGCCACAGCAGTCTCTTTGGCCTCGTTCTCAAGATCAAGCAGTAAGTCTTTAGTTGCAGGTTCATAACTGTTGAAGAAGAGTATTAATAATAAATCATTATTGGCTTAAGTTTTTGGATTTAATGGTGTTTTAGGAGTACCCTTCGTGTTGCCGTAGCCTCTCTACAACCTGGTTTAGTTTGTGAAGGATCTGCTCCATCTGTGGATGATCTTGATGCCCAGCCAGAAATTCATGAACAACGCCATTCAAAGTTATGGAACTCTTTCCTGGAGGAATTGGGACTCTCAGATTTTTCATTTTCAACCTCACTTCAGCTGCTTCTTTCCATTTACCTTCTGCAGCTAAAATGGTGGCCAGCTGAATGTACCGCCCACTGTGATCTGAATCAACTTCCACCAGGTGGGCTCCAATTTGGCCACCCACCAGAAAGTCTCTATGGATCCTACAGGCCTGAACAAGGAGGAAGGAGTGGTAAGCTTTTGTAGATTCTCAACTTTTTTCTTCAGTTTACTTAATTTTATAAGAATAAGGTCACTGAATAGAAGAAGGAAGGAGTGGCCCGAATGGGGGTGGACTATGAGATCCCACATCGAACGAAGTCCCTACAGATCCCATATCGGTTGGAAAAGAAAACAAGGGTAGCAAAGACGCTGGCCCCACAGAAAGGTGCATTGTGAGATCCTACATCGATTCAAGAGAGGAATGAACTCCCTAGAGATCCCACGTCGGTTGAAAAGGTGAACAAGGGTGTGGAAAATCTTGAGGGGAAGCCCGAAAGAGAAACCCTCGGACAGTCCAAAAAGGACAACTTTTTCTGTTCGATGCGAAGATTCTTTTTCTCTCTGAAGTGTCTATTCTTATAACTCACTAAGTATAATCTCTAAGTGTAAATAAAACACCAAAAGTATGTTTAAAAAAGTAAGAATATAAAAATTTTCCCCATACCTTAAGCAAAGCTCCCCATATTATAGCATTAGGTTTCATGGGCATCGTCTTGATCAACTCCTTCGCTTCCTCCAGCAGCCCAGCTCGACCCAAAAGATCAACCATACACCCATAATGCTCAATAGATGGGCTCAAGATATAAACACTCATCATGCTCTCAAATAACACTTTTCCTTCTTCAACCAGTCCGGCATAGCTGCAGGCCCTCAAAACTGCAGTGAAAGTGATGGAATTTGGCCTTATTCCTTCTCTCAGCATTCGTTTAAACCATTCCAGAGCTTCCACCCCCCGGCCATGAATAGCAAAGCCATCAATCATGGCCGTCCAAACATACACATCTTTCTGATCACCCTTCAGTTTCCCAAACTCCTGCAGGGCTTCTTCCATATCCCCACATTTTAAGTACATATTCACCAGAGCACAGCCAATTACCCGATCAACATGGACTCCATTGTTGAGCACATAGAAATGGAGCCATCTTCCTTGATCCAATGCTCCAAGATTTGCACAAGCAGTGAGCAAACTCGCAATAGCAACACCATCAAGCTCAAATCCTGCATTCTGCATCTCATGACAAAGACTCAAAGCTTCTACGTTCAGTCCTGCCTCAACAAGCCCCGAAATCAACGACGTCCAGGAGACCACATTCTTCAATGGCATGTCCAAGAAAACCCCATAAGCCGTTTTTACGTCCCCAGATTTGATATACCCATCAATCATTATGTTCCAAGAAACGATATCTCTTTCAGGAATATTATCAAACAGTTGGCGTGCATACTGAATGTCACCACATAAAGCGTACACATGAAGCAGAGCATTCAAAGCAAAAACATCCGACCCAAATCCCAGTTTGATTACCAGTCCATGGACTTGAAGGGCCTCACTCATGGCCGAAAAATTACGACAAGCTTTGAGCAAGAAAGGGAAGGTGTAGGAATTGTGCGGTACCGAAGAAGAAAGCATCTGACGATACAAAAGAAATGCTAATTCTGGTTCATTACTGTTAGAATACGCTCTTATCATGGCGTTCCACATGAAAGTGGTAGGGCTGGAGATTCCATTGAAAACCCTTTGCGCGTAATGCAAATCACCGAAATGGGGTGAAGTGCAGAGGGTTAGAAGCTTGGTGGCTAATTTGGGTTCTGTCGCTGTGCCTGTTCTAATCATTTGAGCATGAATTTCTTTCAATTGCTTCATGTTTGAGCAGTTTTCGAGCAGAGACATGGTCTGAGCCCATGTCGATTGCATTGGAGACTCTGCTTTTAGAGCGAACATGACGATGATTTCATATCAACTATCCACATACTTGGCGTTCCTCTTGGAAATTCTAAATGGATCACGTGTGTCTTTTGTCTGTGGCCATCAAATAACCAATTTCCATTATCTCTTTAAAAGAGCAAATTTGAAAATTTAGGAGGACTTAGTTCGACATATATTTCGCTGGCAATCGAATCGTATATTTTCGTAGGAATTTCATGATCAGGATGATCATATAATTTTGTGTTGAAAAATGTCTGAGAAAAAAGGAGTAAGAAAGAAAACTTTAAATGACCAACATTGAAACAATGCAAATAAGCAATATAACAAAAATGACGGCCCAAATCCAATACACCCACTTCTTGTTCTTCCTCTTCATCTGGTTCGCATAGTAAAGGCTTCGAGTTCCGCCATTGATGAACTTCCCAGCTTTCGCCACATTCTCCTCAATGTTCTCTATCTTCTCCCCTTCACTCTCAACCAGAATCGCCATATCCAAAAACACCTGATGAAGTTTATTCAAACTCCTCTGTATATCCATCACTGACTCGTGCCTGACTCGGTCTCTCAACTCGGCCTCGCTCAAATTCCCTCCAAACGAATCCAATTTCAGACTCCCAGACATAATCTTCTCAATCTTTTCTTCACTGGGTTGTTCCCCATTTGCACTAAAATACCTTCTTCTCAAATCCTCCTTGTGATCCGCCACAACTTTTTCTCTCAAACACTGGAATTCCATCATCATTTCTCTCAATTTCACTCTCAGTCCGTTGGTGATTGAAGTTCTTGTCCGGTCCACGGTGGTTCCTTCGCCGTATGCGACGGATACCAGGCGGTTGACGGCGTTGGATTGGTCGAGAGAGGCCAATTTTTCTTTAAGGAGTTTTGCTCTGCGGAGGATTGAGACCATGTCGGAGTCGATTCGGTCTCTTAATCCGCGGAGGATTTTCGCGTTGTGGGTTGATTTGGCTTCTTGATTTAGTTTTTGAATGTCGTTCAAGAGATTGGTTGTCTCTTCCATTTGGGTCTTGATTTCGTCGACTTGTCCGAAAAACAGAGACAGGTTCTGTTCTTCCGTCGGATTGAGTTCTTGGCCGCCGGATTCAATGTCGAAGCCGCCGCCACCGCCGCATGCGGCTTCGTTCTGCGCCTGTTTCTTCAATTCCACATAACTTAAGAACGATTTCGTCATCAAATCGTTCATCTTGGCCGATTTGGTTCTGCTCTGCAAGATTCAAGACTGGATTAAACGGAGCCAGAAAGAAATTCAAAAGAATTGAAAAGAAAAGGGAAGAGAAACCTACCTTGTGGGGGTGGTGGTTCAGAAATTCACAAGAAATTTGAATATTGGGGAGTTTTGAGCAGAATTCTTATCTTCTTCTTCTTTTTTTTTTTTTTCCTTACCGAGAGGTTTGTGGGTTTAAAAATGGGATTGAAATTTGAAATTTGGTTAAATTGGAGAAGTAGCCGTTGGTTCATTGAAGACAGTTACTCCACCATGATCGATCGGGCAGTTACGATGGTCGTGCAGGCGGGAAATAAAACGCCCATGACTTGCCACTGTAAAATTTATTTTAAATTTATTTTGAAATTAATTTAGTTAATTAATTGTTGGGGAATTTTTTAAATGACTAATAACTTTTGTATTAATGAATTATTGAATTTATGAATCATAATTTAATTTTGGCACGTCACGATTACTATTCTTTTTCTCAGATTTAAAAGAAAAGAGAAGAAAAGATTACCATTCCCCTTCCCAAAAATACATTCTTCTAGTAATTAAAATATAATAGACAAAATTTTCTTATAATATATTTTTAATATAATAATTGAAATATGAAAATTTCAACATTTGACTAACTAATATTACGTGTCTTTGTCAGTTGCTATTGAGTTATATTCACTTTAGTAAATTAAAAAAAAAAATCTATATAAATAAATGATAGTTAATATGGTTGGATGATGAAAGTCCCGGTTAATTTAGGAAATGGTCATGCGTTTACATGCGTTTATAATCTGCTCAAAACAAAGCCATAGAAGCTCAAAACAAAGCGAAGCTCAAAACAAAGCCATGAGAGCTCAAAACAAAGCCATGAGAGCTTAAGTGGACAATATCATACCATTGTGGTAACAAATACTACTTTTAAAATTTCATAAATATTTTTTAAATATAAATTATAACTTTTTAAAAGGGGATAGCACTTTTTAGCTCATTGAAAGCATCAGTTTTAAAAAGAGAAAAATACTATACTTTAGTCCAAAAAAAAAATAGACTTTATATGGAAAACATTAACTTATTCTTCTTAGAGAGTATAGATATTATATTCTGTTCGAGTAACAAAGACTTTGCTTTTATTTTCATTAAGCTTTTCATCAGATTGAATTGTCTCACAAGTCACAGATAACAAGTGTGTCTGAAATCTATGTATTTCTGTATGAGCAGAGAACTATGAGCAGTCTCTGCAAATGAAAGCGTTAAAAGCGTTAGCTAATCCAATCATTGCACTAGTGAAATGATATCATTTCCTTCTAAATTTCATCCAAATGCTCCCATCTGCCATATGCAACCTACGAAGAAAAAGAATCTACCAAGAACTTGTGAAGCTGTGATGAGTATATATCAGGGTACGTCCTGTAGTGGTCAACATGCGGTGACGAGCCGAAGTTGTACGACAAAACCTTCGTTCCTGTCTTCTTCCTCTTCTCGATAAGAAGCTCGATTGACTCGAAGGGTACAACTTTATCTCCTGAACTGTACAGATAAAGCTCAGGATACGAAGGCTGGTACTCTGTAAGAAGTGAAACAATCTTCTTCAACCTCCTGCAAGGAAATGTTCATTTTTCAACAATTAATATGCATTCATATGGTAAGTACATGACACCATTCAATCCTCGAGCGAAAATGTTTCCATCCATGTCTTGAAATAATAAGAAAGCTTACTTGTCGACGTCGGGAAACTTCAAAGCAACCGAGAAAAAATTCTCCAATGATGACAAAACAAAGGTTTCCAATACAAGAGGTTTCTTGTCTATTTCCTTTCCACTAACCATTGGAGATGTAGAAGAACTGTTTTTCTTGAGAATGGCTGCAGAAAACCCAGCTGCCCAAATCTACCATTGTTTGTAGTAGAGATGAAATCATATATCTATCTTCCACTACGGATGGGAATAAAATGGAAAAGGAAAAACAGATCAGATGAAAGCATGCTAGTTGTTGTAACAGCTCAAGCCAACCGCTATTAGATATTGTCCGTTTTCTCCTGTTACTTCATTAGCCTCACGGTTTTAAGACACGTAAGGTTGATGGTGATACGTAACGAGCCAAAGAAGATAATATTTGTTAACGGTAGGCTCAAACTAATACAAGTGGTATCAGAGCCAGACACCGGGCAGGTGTGCCAGCGTCCTCACCCCCAAAGGGATGGATGTGAGATCTCACATCAGTTGGAAAGGAAAACAAAGCATTCTTTATAAGGATGTAAAAACCTCTCCCTAACCGGTGCATTTTAAGACCTTGAGGGGAAGTCCTTGAAAGGAAAGCCTAAAGAGAACAACATCTGCTAGTGGTGGGCTCGGGTTATTACAGTTGTTATCTAATAGCAAAATCAGACGAGAAAGGCAGAAAAAAAAATAACAATCATTTTTGCTCGGTTGCAAAATATATAACACGAAAGCATGCTATCAAATTCAGATTGGATTAAAGCCTGTTAGTTATATACTGTTGTATTAATGCTTAAACAACCTAACTAGTTGTTTGTACATGCTTCAATAATTTATACCAAGAAAAAGTTAAACCAATATTTTTGGTTTTGGAACCATTTAGAAGCCTTAGAAAACTGGGAGTTGTACATTTTTAATGAGATCTTGGGTAAACAATCATTATCAAGATGAAAATTGCAGGTACAATCATGGCAATCTGATCTGAACAATTTTGGAACTAAAGCAACAAAGAAGGAACAGAGAGAAATGGAGGCTTGAGATTCAGATCATATGATATTTAAAGGGCAATAGCCAGTTTCTACTATTTTTTCACCTCTAAATCCTTGATTGTGATGATAAATTCAGAGATGGATAAGAGTTCATTGACATGCAGATGTGTTTCCATCAGTTGAAAGAACGCAGTAAATAATTTAGAACTCTTTCTACAAATCAGTTCACAAACCTGAGGATTCAACGGATCACCTCCTCCAGAGTCAACAATGCACCCTTTAATCTTCTCCAACAAATCTTTCCGCCCTTGAAAAATTTCAAGAACGGCTCCGTATCTGCAGAAGAAAACAAAAGGGAACAGAGCTAATTCTATGTTGACAAAAAAAGAAAAGAAAAGAAAACAGCAATGGGATACCGATAACAGAATTCAACATACACAAACCAGCCCGTGTTGCTAAAAGTGTGAAAAATCAGGCGCCGATCCTTATGATTCTCTTCCCCATCTGATAACCAAGAAATGAGTTCAGCCGCCAAATCCGAAATCCGCTGCTCAACTTTTCGACTCAACGCGAACCAAAGAAACTCTCTCGGATCCAGCACAAACGTCAAGGCGTTGATACCCCTCGCATTGTACCACTCCACGTACCTCCTCAGATGCTTAGTCTTTGCCCCAAGCCAACCTAACAACACAACAGTCGCCGCTCCCTTTTCGCCCCCCAAAGCCCCCACGTTGATTCCAATTGCACTGTCTGAAGCTCGATTCCAAGTCCAGGCACTTCCGTTCGAGTCAGGTAGAAACGAATTGGAGTAATCAGGCGCGAATTGAGACCCGAAAGATTGTAATGAGGGTAAAGAAGAAAGAAAATTAAAAGCGTTGGAGCCAATAGAAGATGCAGTGGATCCAAAGGACGAGGAAGAGCAATGAGAAAGATTGAGTGAGAGTGAGAATTTGAGACCGAGGCACTTCCGAGGAGGGAAATGGAAATAGGTTGAAGATTGCCGGAAAATCGCGGTCCGATTAAATTCAGGAAATGAAACGAGGCGCGATTGAGGAATTGTCTTTGTGAAGAGGTGGCGATTAAGAACGCAGGGACGAAATGCCCTGACTGGAGCTTCCATGGCGGCGCTTCCGGTGACCACTGTGAGAAGATCGTGGAGTGCTTCAACAAAATTTCTAGCCAAATAGAATGAATTAGAAATGATACAAATAATCTTTAAAATACAAATTAAAAAACACAAAAACAGAAACAAAATTAAATGTAAAATAAATAGAAAAACAATATGAATGGTATGCACATAAACCTCACTTAATCACCATTTTCGTTTAATTGGAAATTATCGTCCTATTTAATAAAGTAAACCAAATTGAGAGGTTTAAATTAATTAAAAAATTTCAACAATATTTTTTTAATACTTTTACATTTTTTAAAAAATGTTAAAAAAATACTATTTTTTTTTATTAGCAATCATCAATTCAATTTATTAAATTTAAAGAATAACCATCAAATTTTAAAAAATATTAATATTAATTTTGAAAGTTAAATAAATATTTTTTAAAATATGATACTAATATTTAAATTTTATTTTGTAATACAAAAAAAGGCTTCACGGTATGAAAAAATGTTCGAATCCGCAGGTAAAAATAAAAATAAATAAAAATAAAACTGAAGTTAGTTTAGTTTCGGACTTGCGACCCAAGGCGTTAGTAAACGCGTCCTCAGCGCGTCTGCTGGTTCATTACTGTCTATTTCTATAATTCTATTCCACAATAATAATATTATTATATTTCCACTTTTGCCCTCCCTACCTTTAACCAATAAATTAATAAAAAATTTATCTATATATTCAATAAAAATTATTGATTTATTCCGTATTTTTTATTTACAAATCTAGAATTGAGTGTTTAGTGTCGTGTTTGACAATTTAAATGATTAATTTAGTTAATCAACTTTCTCTAAACTATTAAAATGTTAAATTATAAATTTAATTAAAAAAATTATAATACATCTCTAAATGTACCTAATATTTGAAATCTTAATTTTATATTTAATAAATCTAATAAAATGTGTAATAAGTTTTATGGCTAACAAATTATTTCTCAATTTAGAATTTTAAATAATTTTGTATTTAATAAATTTAAGGTCGAAAATGTCTAATATTTTCAGACATTTGACTTTATTATTTTTTTTTTTTGAAGTTGGAGCACAAAAACATAAAAATGAGGGACAAAATTGTAATTTAGCCCTTTTATACCTTACATCTTCCTTATTTCTATTCGCTCGCCTTTTTTC